TCGCACGGAATGGCAGCAAAAGCCAAGAAAGATGATTGGATCTGCCGCGCGTCCTTGAGCTGATGTTGGACAACATCGCGCAGGATGGCAGCAAACGCCGACATCGCAGCATGGATCTGCTGCACCCCCCTGAGCTCATCTTGGACAGCACTGCTGTCACCACCATTTCTAAGTATCACCGCAAGTGACAACAGACCCACCAGCCAGAATGGTTGAGAGCTTGGATCTCCAGCACGTTCTTCAGCTGGTCTTGCACAGCACTGCTGTCTCCACCACTGCCAGTGGGGCCCCACTTCTAGACTCCCCTTAGAACCTGAACAAACAATATTCTGTTTAATATCCTCTTGGGTTTTATGTAAACAAGAATACAAAAAAACCCAAGGGGGATATAGACTTCAGATGCTTCGATCTGCTTCACGTCCTTCAGCTGATGTTACACATCAGCTGCTGCCACCAGAGTCAGCAGCCCCAGGTCACAACGGACCCATCGCCTAGTATAGCAGCAGCTTGGATCTGCTGAGTGATAGCATCGCAGTTAGTCACCCTAAACCCTAAACCCTAAACCCTAAACCCTAAACCCTAAACCCTAAACCCTAAATCCAGAGCCCTCATCCCGGGCCAAGGATCACCGCAAAAGCAGCAATGTTGGTGCAAGCAGTTCAGCTCTTCTGTGAGGTGAGCACATCACTGCGCAACCTCGACTCCTCAAGAGTGGCCGCTGAAGGCAGAATGCTTGCAGAAGGGTCCCTTGCCAACTTCCACAGCCTTCTGCAAGTGAGGCGACCGACTCATCCGATTCTGCTTCGATCGACGCCGTCCTGCCACTTGGCAGGCTCACCTCGACGGTCAGGGACATGGTGCTGCGCAGGCAACCCTCACCTCCAAAAGTGGCTCTTGCCTTGGGCCACTTGCCTCAGTGCTTGAAAAAGCACATTCCTGCTTTGGTAACAGTCCTTAATCGGGATTCTCCTTAGTAGGGCTTCTAGTACCCATCATTATAGTCCCTATCCCGCGGGCTCCAAGTATACAAATAATACCTACATTGGGCTCGACAGTCTGTAAATAATACCTACTTTGGGCCATTTGGAGGCTTAGGGCATTATCTAGTAACCAAACCCTAAACCCTAACACCTAAACCCTAAACCCCCACTATAGTCCCTATTAAGGACTGTTTGTATAGAGGAAGTGCAACAGATGACTTTGCTGTGCGCCGAAATAGAAACCCACTCCATGATCAAGGCAGCGCACCCAACTCCCGGCTTCCGGGGGTTTAGGGTTTAGGGTTTAGGGTTGAGGGTTTAGGGCTCGAGGGGGTTCATCGAAAGTCGCCTCGGCCCCAAAACCCTAAACACTGTAAGAAAATCCCTAACCCCAAAGGTTGCTCCAAACCACGCAGCACACCTGTCAGTGTTCTATAGGGCTTAGGGTTTAGGTAAGCCCGAAGCCCGAACCCGAAACCCCGACCTGTCGGCGGGCGTCGTCGCTGCAGCAGGTGCTTTGGCTGCAGGCCTTACTTGGTCTTCTGGGGTAGTCAAAGTTCAGGGTTCAGGGCCTAGGGAGGTAGGATTTAAGCTAGGTAAAGGGAGTCCACGCAATGTGAAGAAACATGCGGAACTTGTAAAGAATAATGTGGAACTGTTTCTTTTCTTAATGTCATGGGCTTCTTCGAGCGGCTGAGTAATTATTTGTCCAACGCTCGACAAACTGCTTGACCGGTGCATGTCTGGACTTGAGATGCTGAGCCCAAAACCCCAAACCCAAAACCCAAACCCCAAACCCCAAACCCAAAACCCAAAACCCAAAACCCTAACCCTAAACCCTAAACCCTAAACCCTAAACCCTAAACCCAAAACCGTAACCCTAAACCCTAACCCTAACCCTAAACCCTAACCCTAAACCCTAAACCCTAAAAAGCCCCCAAGGAGTCGACTTGGGCACCGCCGGCGCTGCCGTGGCCGCCTCTGATGCCATCGGCGGCCTCTGGGCGCGTTTAAGGGCTTTAGGTTTCTGTTCACTGTCCTTAAAAAGGGATGGTAAAAGGGCTTAGGGTTTAGGGGTTAGGGTTTAGGGGTACGATCATCCTAACTAAGGAGCTGCTGGTATAAGGGGGAACCTCGGGGTTTAGGGTGCCTGTGAACCTCCAAAGTCGTGCCTGCACCCAGAAGTCTTGAGATTCAGGAGTGCTACCCTGTATGCATTATATGGGGACCTATATGCCCGTGTAGCCTGTAACTATTTGGTTCCTTCCCCTCCACAATAAAGAAACAAAAAAACAAAAATCCCAAACCCTCAACCCTAAATCCTAAACCCTAACCCTAAACCCTAAACCCTTCACCCTAAACCCTAAATCCTTGAGCCCGCCGAGACCCTCCAACCCATTGCCTGCAGACACAACTCCAACGCCCCCAGTCGGCCCTGGAACCCCGGAGAGCGCTTGGGGATGCCTAAACCCTAAACCCTAAACCCTAAACCCTAAACCCCTAAACCCCTAAACCCCTAAACCCCTAAACCCCTAAACCTAAACCCTAAACCCCCAAACCCCTAAACCCCTAAACTCCTAAACCCCTAAACCCCTACACCCGTAAACCCTAAACGCCTAAACCCCTAAACCCCTAAACCCCTAAACCCCTAAACCCCTAAACCCCTAAACCCCTAAACCCCTAAACCCCTAACCCGGCACCCGGCCCCCCTGAGCAGCTGGCGCTTTGGCAGGGGGAGGGGCTGCCGGCTGGGCTGCCTTCGGCACCTGGCAAGGGCCGATTTGCTACCTAAACCCTAAACCCTAAAACCTAAACCCTAAACCCTTAACCCTAAACCCTAAACCCTAATGCGACTTTTGGTGGAGAAGGACCCCCTCCCACGTGCACCACCCGCCTTTAACCCTGCCTTTCACAAGGGGACATGTACCTACATGCCCACCAAAAAAGTGGGAAACGTACCTTAATTGTCGCAACCCTAAACCCTAAACCCTAAACCCTAAACCCTAAACCCTAAACCCTAAACCCTAAACCCTAAACCCCTAAACCCTAAACCCCAAACCGGGTTCCAAGGTCCTGTTTCCAGGTCATACTACAGCATACTCTAGGCAGACAACGGTTTGGGCCAGCCTCTGCTGGACTGCTGATGGAGTCGGGGTCTGTGCTGTTGAGTGCTGGCTCCACTTGGAGGTTCAAGGTACTTATGAACCAATTATAACTGTACTTTTTACTGTACTTATAACTGTACTTATAACCATAGTAGGGCACTTAAGGGGCTTAGAAGTGGGTTGTAAGTACAGTTATAGTTATAGTTGGTTCGTACTTAAGTACTATGAACCTCCAAGCACACCCATTACGTAGAGGTTCCCTTCCTCAGATTCTTGTTCTCTTTGGTGGGGTGGGTCCGTGGGGGTGCATCGTGCATGGGTGGTGGGTGCTGGGTAGGGGCGCCGGGGTCTCAGCACTAGACATCACCACGTGATTGCTACGCTGCTGCATGCGGCAAGCATCTAAACCCTCAACCCTAAACCCTAAACCCTAAACTAAACCCTACACCCTAAACATTAAACTCTGACCCTAAACCCTAAACCCTGAACCCCAAACTAAACGCAACAAGCAAGCATCGCTCCACTTCTGCGTGCAGACCCGGCGCAGCCACCCCAGGCACACCGCTGTCCGGCTGGCCGACCGTCTCTTCAGCAGCGCGCTTCTGGTTGGGCCTTAGAGATGCTCACCCACAGGGCATAACAATTCCTGTAAACCCGAAACCCTAAACCCTAAACCCTAAACCCGAAACCCTAAGCCCTAAACCCTAAGGGGTGCTTTTTAGGACTTAGGCGGGTGAGGGCTTCCCCGCCCTGAGGGCTGGGGAGGGAGCAAGGTGGGGTTTCTCGGGTGATAGGGTTCAGCGGTATACCGATGCTGAGGCTGTGGTGCTTCTGTGGGTTGTTCAAGGTTCCATGCCGTGCTCGTTGCCCGCGCCTGCCTCAGTGATCGGCCCCGTGCTAGGGTTATGGATCTAAAAACGCGCTGCGCGCGTTTCTCTTAGGTTCTGCGCACTGCTAGACATGATCGCGTTTCTTAAGAAAAACCACCGGATTTTCGAGTTTTTTCTTTCGTCACGGTTTCATGGAGAGAAAACCAAGAACCTGCTTGGGCTCGTGAACCCTTGCCGGTTACTGGCGAGTAGAAGACTATGTGTTTAGGCACGTTAATGGCTCTTTTCGCACGTTTCTTGGAATCGTGCTTCTTGTATTCTTGCGCAAAATGAGCGGCCATTTTGGCAGAGCGAGCGCAAGAGAGAATTAGCAATTCCGACCAATACTTACAGGAAATGTGTCACATATGAAACGTGTGCGATGTCGCATGTTTACTGGATTCGGGTATTCAATCTAAACTTCAGGGTTTAGGATGCAGGGTTGCAGCACCCCACTGTTCATTGTGGGTCCAAGCCAATCCTGGGGTCCCCCCCAGAAGGGGTTGCTCCTGAGGGCTTTTTCGACCTTCCCATGAGGAAAGTTTGGCTGCAAAAAAGCGTCATTGTGGGTCCACAAGCCTCCTGTTTTGTCAGGCTCACAATCCTGAGACCTACAAGCTTCTCATCTTCCTATCAACCCAGGGGTCAACCTAGAACCCCTGTACCCTAAACCCCTAAACCCACTAAGCCCTTAACCGAACGACAAACGTTCAAAAAGAAGCCAGGGCGCCCAATCCGAAAAAAAAAGAAAAGCGCGGGGGGCGGGGGGGGGGGGGGGGGGTAAACCCGAAAGCCTTCCGAAGCCCATGAAACCATCAAAAGCCCCAAAGCCCGGAACCCCAAACCCTTTGAGCCCTTCAGGGCTTAGAGGGGTTTGAGGGTTACAGGGCTTTGTAGGGTTTGGGGGTTTGGGGATCCCGGGTGTTCAATTTTCGGGTTTTTGGGGTTGACTATACCCCGAGCAAAAATGATAGTTTAGCTGTTTCTTAGGAATTACAGTGCCAAAAAAATTAACACTACTCCCAAGAATCCCTAAGTTGGGTCGGCTAAGTGCCCCACGTGATCCCCTGCTCCTTCACCATTGGGAGCTTGCCGAACGCCTCGGTGAATGTGGTGAGCTGCCCCGATTTCTTGGCCCCGCCTTGGGTCTCCGAGATCAAAAGAGTTTGTGTTCTTTTTGTTTGGGGGGAGCAGTGTATTGGTTTGAGGCTGGATAAGGGCAGGCGTCTCTTAGTTCAAGTCGCAAGACTCCCGCCCTACCACCCTTGCAGCCCACCGTGAAACAGCGCACACGCTCAAGCCTTCTTTTGTTCTGCGGGATGCGCAGGAAAACCGATCCACAGCTTGCCTTGTGCCAGCTGTGCTATGTCGACCGAAAACTTCCTTCCAGGAGGTGAGTGGGGCGGTGGCGGGAAGTCGAATGCGACCTAGCCTAGCACTCGAAATCTACCAGAAGCTGCTTGCACCTGCTTCGAGCAGTGCAACGGCTACGCGAGCCACAAGCTACAATCAACTACGCGAAAGAAGAACAACGAGACGCTTCATGTGCAAACCGCTACGCTGGCACAGTTATGCGTCTCTTAGTTCAAGTCGCAAGACTCCCGCCCTACCACCCTTGCAGCCCACCGTGAAACAGCGCACACGCTCAAGCCTTCTTTTGTTCTGCGGGATGCGCAGGAAAACCGATCCACAGCTTGCCTTGTGCCAGCTGTGCTATGTCGACCGAAAACTTCCTTCCCGACCGCAGGCAAACCTCATTTTCGGCCGACTCCTAAACCTAGCCCAGGATCACGAGCCACGCCAGTGGCAAGTGGGCCCCCCCCGCTTTCTGCCAGGACTCCTTTACGCGACCGCAGCCTGATGCCACAGTCTACTTGGGTTGTTCGCTGCACAAGGCCAGAGAAGGCAAACGCGATCACACGCAAGCACGCATCCCTGACTGACTAGCATGTGCAGCACTCCTACCTGTAGCAGACTTACCACGGATCTGCCCAGCGCAAGCCGACTCCTCGAGACTTGGCTCGACCTGCTTTGGGAGGCCCCCGCTTCCTGCGCGAGAGCTTGATTTCCGAGTCCAGCTGCATGGCCGCTTCCATCAAGCGCGGCATCACCCTGAAGCCAAGGTTCCCTGGCTCCACCTGCATGCGCTTGGCTGGGTCGAACGCTGTGAAGTCCTCGTTGGTAAGAGCGTCCGCTTCTGTGTTCTGCTCCCTTGGTACCCAGCCCAGGTTCAGAGTGCAGCCCAAGTCCTTGAGTTGCACCGAGAGTTCCATCAGCACAACACAAAGTGGAAAAGCTGTCGTCATGTGCTTGTCCACGACGAAACTGTTGCCCATATTATCGGTGAAGCCCGCCACTGTCGCAGTTGCTACTGCACCTTTCCACACAGCTCCGTGGCCAAACACGCACACTGCAACCAGGGTGGCCATAAGCTCGAGCGCGGCGATGGTCCGGTAGGGGTCGCCTTTGACGTAGGCCCAAGGCGCCGTCGTTCTGTCCAGCTTTACGGAGAACCAGCGTGCGTCCTTGGGGCCTACGCTGCCGAGACACTCCCAGCCTCCTATCACGATCTTGTCGCCTTGGGCCTTGGCGTCAACTCGGAATAACTCTCCTACCTGAGTCGGCAAAGGCCTGGGCGGGGTCATAGATGCGCAAACCACTTCATGCCGAATATGTTCAAGAATGAGCCGCACGCCCAGAGGGAGCTGGCTTTCGCCTGCGTCCTGTGCCGCGCACCACGCAAATATGGGACCCAGAAATGGCCGCACATGTGGCAAAGCTCCCGCAATGAAGGAGAATCTGCCCAACGCGGCCCGCATGTGCTGCACTTGCACCCGCCCTTCTCGCAGATGGTCGTCGATCCAGCGCACCAACCACCCAACTTTGGTGGGCCCAATGCCGGACTGGTAAGATACAACATCGACCTGATAGCCGATCCAGCTCAGCGAAGCCCCGCCTGCCACTTTCTTCCACGATAGCGGAACCTCCAGCAGCTCGAAGACATACAACCAGAACATCTGACGCCGCCAAAAATCTTTGCCAGTGGCTAACAACAACCCATCATCGGAGTACAATAAGTGATAGAGCGCGGATGCGACGTCCGACATGTAATGCGACAAACGAACGATGGCCGCTGCAACCCTGGCCCAGTGATACGCTGCCGACGCTAGTCCAAATGCCCCGACCGTGTGCATGTAGATGATGTCAGGATCATCTAAAGAAAACGCTTGATAAGCCCAGTCCTCCTCCCTGATGGGCACTAGCTTGTGCGCTCTGGAGACATCGTACTTCAAGCAGAAGCGGATTGTGGGATCCCGTGAACACTCTGCAACAAGCAACCGCAACAGTCCATCCAGGTCATCAATCCTCGGACAACGTATTTGATCCCGGACTCGGATCCGAGGGTTCACCTCGACGTTGTGTGTCGCATCATGTATGATGCGAACCTCCGATGTGCCCACCTCCTTCGGCACCGCGCCAAGGGCGGCAACTGCAAGCTTGTTCCCAAACTTGCGCTGCGCTTCAGACTTCGTCATCGACACGACCGTGCCTTTGTGGAGCTCTTGCACAATCTGTCTGCGAATGTCCTCCATGTTCTCTTCTGCCGACTTGTAGTTTGCGCACACCGTTGGCTCAAAATCACCTCCCGGCTCGGACAGCTTCCAGCGAGTCTTCGCCTCGAACACTGCAGGGACGCGAGGCAGCACTTCACCCACGCCCAAGCACGCACCAACGCTAGCCAGCTCGTTCAGAAAGGCGAAGTCCGGGTCGCCGGCTAGCTCCAACAATGCAGCCACCCTGCGAAAGTTTATTTCGGTCTGCCTGTCAGTTGCTTGACGGTCCGGGCACACTCCCTCAGCACGCAACACACCATCAAGCTCTGCCCGCGCTCGCTGCAGGGCGGCAGCCTCGAAGGGAGAACGCTGCCGCTTTCCCGCTGCCAGAGACCAGAAAAGTTTCAGCGCATCATTGCCCTGCTCGTCACTCTGCTTCAGCCAAGCCATGAAAGAGCGGCACACGCAGGTTCTGGCCTTGGCAAAAGCTTGTGACTGAGGAAACTGGCGCTGCTTGATTGGCCATCTGCCAGGAGAGCACAAGCCGCCTCCATCGTGAATAGGACGGGAACGGCCCTTGTACACTGCTTGGATGGGCAAGCCACGACCCCAGTAGCCTGCCACCACAAACTCTTGCTCAGGCTGCGCGGGGTGGTCTTGCCCAGACAACGACGCTTGCTGGCTCTCTACGCGGCAAGACTGCCCAACCCCACCATCGCAACATGGCTCCAAAGACCGGCCACCCACCTCCCCATCCGCAGGAGCCGGTCTTTGGTCGGACTCAGCCGGCTCTTCCACCGATGACGCCGGCGATTGCATGGATAGTCACTCTTTGCCTGCCGACGCCTCCTCCGCCGACTTCGCTCGCATAGCCGGACAAGCATGCATGGGATGCTTGCCAAGACAAAGCTGACAAACATGAGCCCGATCGCAAGGACCCCGACACTTCTCATGCGCGTTGTTGAACTTGAAGCAGATCTGCACGCCTTCCTCCGTCACCTTCTTCAAGTCCCCGACGAATTTAACCTTGCCTTTCCCTTTTCCTTTGCCCTTTCCGCCGCCGCGGCGCCCGCGACTGCGGGAGCGTTCTCGTCCCCCCCACACCGGGGGGGGCGGGGGGGGCATCATTGCACGCAAAGCGCTTGGCGTGACAAAATAGCGCTCCTTGATCACCATGTCAGCCATAGACTTCTCCAGGGCCGAAACCAACTTGCCACCGGCATTCAAAAGTTTCATGACGTTCTTGCGCAGCTGAAACTCGTACGCAATCACCAGATCAAACGCGGGCGAGGAAACAACGCCCCCTGCCGCATCCTTAGCGTGCAAGCCGAAGACAAAATCACCCAACAGGAAGTCCGCGTAGTTCTGGAAATGATAGGGAGCCACACCCTGCAAGGCCGTGAGGTGCGGATACCTCAAGGAGCAGAACACAAACGAATGCGCCACCAAGCGCAGCCGCGACCGAAGCTCCTCAGCATTGGACGGTAGAGGAACCTGAACGTGACCCTTCTTGACTTTGATGGTGCCAGTGCTTCGGTCAATGGTGGCCGCCACGTCCTCCTGCGCTGCATCCTCCTTGGACGCGTATTCCTTAAGGGACAGATATTGATATTCCCCGTGGTCGATCATGTCGAAATGCTGCTCTAGTGTAGCAGTAGCCGGCATGACTTTGTCTGGTAAGGCGTAAAAGGCAGCCTCAAAGCGCTCTCGCAGTTGCGCCACCTCTGTGCGCGGCACAACCTTGGGCAGACCCCCGATGACGGCCTCTGCCTCCGCTTTGTTGCGGGCTTCCACGCGAACCCGAGCCGACTCCCAGGCATCCACCACTGCTGCAGTCTCGACATCGTTGCCCGCAGTGTCTGGGTCCAAAGCAAGCGTTTTGACGCAAAACTCGCGAAGCCCTTTGCGGTCGTCGGCCAAAGCGGCCAGGCGACTCACTGTCTTGACTTTCTTGGCTGCAAACATCGCTTGAACTTTCAGCGCAACCTCTTTGCACTGAAGAAGGCCGGCGAGATCCGGGTCCAGCTGCATCACTAGCTTCTCTTGCTGCTCCTCTGTGTCCATCTCGGCCGGCATAGCAAACGCAAAGAAACGCAACCCAAACACGCAAACAACCCAAACAGATCGCCACAAAGGCGGGGGGGGCGCACCTACAAGCAAGCACTGTGGCCAGAAACAAGCAAGACGTGACGCGGGCACCCAAACGCAAACTGTCCTGACCTTCCTACCTCTGCGCACAGCAAACCTTGGGCCATGCGCCTGGTCCTCCTGACTCAAACTTGTGATCGGGGGGGGCCAAGGATCACAAGCTCACGACGCCAGCACTCGCAAACGAGCACTGCCTCGCCTCCATCCTGCACTACCTTAGCGGAATGCGGCGGCTTCACTGCCGCTCAGATCCTGACTCAGAAGACGAAGAAGAAGAACTGTCGATCTCATCGGAACTGACAGACCCCACAACCTCGTTGGCGACTGGGAAGCAATCCTTGCAGCAGCGAGTGTACTGGGAGCCATCTGGACGCCGCTCTCCGAAGGCCAGGAACTTGTGGTAGTGTACACCAGGGATCCGATGGCATTCCCCGCCTTTGTGGAGAGTCCGGCGCTCTTCACGACCCACCAAGCTGACAAAGAACTGACCCAGATGACCATTAGGCAACTCCACATCGTCAGTGTCCATGCCCACACCGCCGTCGGCTGGAAGTGAGAATCCAGAAGCCTCGCTGGCCGTGTCCTCCTCATCCTCAGTTTCAGACGCCGCACCCGAGGCTGTGCTGGAAAACACACGCAAGCGCTCCAACTGCTGCTCGATGGCAGACGCCTCATAGCCAAGATCTTGCAAGCGCTCCACCACTTTCGCAAGCACACTGCCCTCATCCAGAAAGTCGGGGCCAGAGAAGCCACGACGTACGGCGCTCGCGATCTTAGCTTGCGCCCGCTCCACGTTGCCACGAATGGAACGCACGTAAGCCTCGTCAATGGACATTTGCCAGCGACCCAGCTGCTTGCTAACCAGCTCAGCAATTTCACAACATGCCGCCCACGTGCGCATGGTGGCACGTTCTGAGTGCTCGGTCCACAAAGTGCCCAGGCCATTCAGCATCAGTCCCATGACGTCCGGCGAAGCAGCTTGTAGATGCTGAAAGAGGGCTTGAGACATCGCAGCAGCGTGACAATAACGAGCCATCTTGCCTGACAAGCCGTTCAGATCCGCCGCCGGGCGCACCAAGAAGAAGTCCCGGTGCTCCACTTTGGCCTCGCTGCTCATCTGCTGCCAAAGCTTCCAACCCACAGACAGCCAAGAAGACTCCGCTAGCCAAGCTCTCACAGAAACAAAGGTGTAGAGCACTGTGACTTTCTTGCCTGGCCCAGTCGTCTTGGTACGCTCCAAGCGAGCGCGAAGTCCACGGCCGTCCAGCGTCAAGGACTGCGCTGGCATACCTTCTGTGTCGGAATAACGCAAACAACCCCACAGCTTAACAAGCCTAAACCAGGCAAAAACCCCGAACATAACGCGGCGCTTGTTCGGAGACAACCAAACGCTCCATGGAGCAGACCTGAGCAACTAGCAGCTGATTGGCCGTCCTACGTTCACGCAGATCCCGATTGCCAAGCACCAAAGCGAGCTCTTCCATCACATTCCGGATAGCAGCATGCTGACTTACGCGCGACGCCAAAGGCACCTCCCCTGCCGCTTCCATGAAAATCAGAGTCTTCAAGCAGCTGGCCGGAACTGTCCTTCCACATGGCTCGGCTGCCCGCGATTGCAAGTAAGCCGCGAATTGCGACGCCGATGGCCAAGAAACAGAAAAGGCATTCCAGACCCACATTGCCATCCTCTGCCAGGTCTTGACGTGCTTCCGCAACGTGGAGGCCCTGCGACCTTTCCCCAGCCGCGGTACCACTTCACCAAGAGACACATCCTGCGCGGCAGGCAGGCCTGCCTGCTGAACTAATCTCGCAAGCTCCCGAACCCAGCGCTGACGAGCACTGTCTTCACGCCCTCGACGACCAGGCTCCGGACCGCCAGAACGGCGATGACGAGTTTTCCATGAGACCGCTGCGGCAGTCGAGGGGCCGTGTAAAGAAGATGCAAGATGAACCGCCGAATCCCGTGCTAGCTCGTGCTCCTGCAGAGGGTTCGGACGCTCCACTCGGCGGCGCTTCAAGGCTACGCTAGTCCACAATATGCTCTGCCAAAAACTCTTCGCACACGACCATGGGCCACAAGCCAGAGTCGCTGCAGCTTTCACCAGTTCCGCGAATTCCGCCAAGACTGCACGCTCCACAGAGCCATCTCCCTGGCGCTGAAGGATACGCCCGAGCTCCGCATTATCCAAATCAGACAAGGTTGCCAGACGAGAGACGCTCCAAGATTGCGCGACGCTAACGACCAAACTGGAGCGCAGGCCCAAGTCTGCCACCAGATCGCTGGATTCCATAGCAAAAGTCGAATGCGACCTAGCCTAGCACTCGAAATCTATCAGAAGCTGCTTGCACCTGCTTCGAGCAGTGCAACGGCTACGCGAGCCACAAGCTACAATCAACTACGCGAAAGAAGAACAACGAGACGCTTCATGTGCAAACCGCTACGCTGGCACAGTTATGCGTCCAAACAAACAGATCCGCTAATTCAGAGAGCTGACCTCACACGGCTCTTGATGCTTGCTCGTCGGGCTTGCGCAGCTCGTGCAAGCGCTTTGAACCAGTGGGCTCCGACGGGTCTAGGACTAAGTGTTTCAGGGCTCCAGGGCTTACAGTGAACCCCAAAAAGTTGGAACATCCTTCTCCCATACCCCAGAAGGCATACTAAAGTGAATCCCAGCTCTGATTAAACCCTAAACCCTAAACCCTAAACCCTAAAACCCAAAACCCGAATCATGTTCGAGCTTTCTGCAGTTTCCTGTTCGGATTTCAGGCTTTCAGGGGCGTAGGAGACTTGGCAGGGTGCAGGGCTGACAAAACGCAAACACCCTACACCCTACACCCTACACCCTACACCCTACACCCTACACCCTACACCCTAAACCCTAAACCCTAAACCCCAAACCCCAAACCCTAAGGCCGCAGGAACGTGGCAGTGCCGGAAATTCCCGCCTCCTCCTCGAACATCTTCTTCACCTGTTCAGAGGTGAGGGCTGATCTGGGTCAGGAACTCTTTGCCCTAAACCCCCTATAGATTTAGGGTTTAGGGTTTAGGGTTTAGGGTTTAGGGTTCCTAAACCCTAAAAACCCTCTTATTCCGGCATCTTCCTGAGTTCTAGTCTAGGATACCGAAGAAAGCTTGAGTCCCCCTCCCTTGAATCCTGCAGTACTAGGCTCTACATGCGTTCTACACCGCAAACGTCCCAAAGCAAAGGCTGAAGAGAGGGCTGAAACAATGGCTTGTTAATTTTAGGGTTTAGGGTTTAGGGTTTAGGGTTTAGGGTTTAGGGTTTAGGGTTTAGGAACAAGCCTTGTGAACCCCAGCGCATCCTGAAGGCATGTTTAGCCTTTCACAGCACCTCCGGTGCCGGATTCGAACGACGTGAAAGAGCCCACCTTCCCAAGTTCTTCAAATTGTTTAGGGTTTAGGGTTTAGGGTTTAGGGTTTAGGGTTTAGGGTTTAGGGGAAGCCAGTAGACGTGGCTATAGTCACAGTGACCTGCCAGGAAAGCCTTAGAGAGAGGGAACTCGGATGTGCAGCAGCCGAAAAGTTGCCCCTTGCAGGGTCTAGGGTTTAGGGTTTAGGGTTTAGGGTTTAGGGTTACCCCGATCAACGTCGTCCAAATTGAATCAGGGCCTCTTGAACAGATGTGCTAGACCCCGGAGTATACCCTCAA